AGTAAGCTTATGGGGGCATAAGTGGGCATGAATGGAGTCAGTTTGTTCAGGTTTAGGCTGAACACCCAGGAAAAGGATTCCTATCTCCCTTGACAGTGACTTGGGTTGCTGCAGAAAGCACGATGTTAGAATTAAAGGCCACTTTCTGCAAGTATTAGCATGAAGTTCCCTATTCCCCAGAGCACTTACCCTTGAGGTTGCTCAGGGAGAAAAAGGGACACAAATCCAGCCAGCATTAATCTGTGGAAAAAAAGCCAAGTGAGCAGTCACACCACAAGTATTTATTAAACAATTAATGATGATCATGGGTCATTTCAGAGGCTGTCCTGTACCGTGCATGGCACTGTTGACTGAGCAAAGAAGTGGGGATGTGTTGGCACCTTTTCTGCCAGATACGGCATTTCCTATCCTCAATGAAAAACATGAAGCTTTGAGCACAGCCATTTACTGTTGTCTCAGCATCCATGTGTCCGTGCAGTTAATTTAATGCCACCTCCGACAGGCTTGGCGCCCAGCAGCCTTATGAAATATTCATGGGGAAGAAAAGCAGTGGAACTTATCTGCTCCGTATTGTTCAGATGCAACTTTGACTGAGACTTAAAGCCTGGCAGGAGCCTTTTGGGCAGGCTGGAAAGCTGCCTGGCTCTCCTGGGAGGGAGACACAGAGTGAGGCGGGGTGAGAGTGAGAGAAAGCAGGCAAACCTGAGAAGTGGAGGGAGGGAAGTGAGACTCGGAGAGCTGCTCAGCTGGGCACAGGGAGCAGGTGAGCTGCAGGGTCTCGAGAGACCCTACATTGCATGAGCCGAGCTGAGAGCGACCCCAGCCCTCTGTCCCCAGGGATGCTCTCTGACCAGTCCTCTTTGTCTCCTGATACTAGCTGCATTTTTTAAGAAACACAGGGATAAAATAACCCCAGCTCCCTTGGCTTAGTGTCTCCTTACACTTGTCCTTTCTCCTTTCCTCTGCCCTGAGGGTTTGGTTGGTTCACTCCTCCCAGTGGAAATGGTTTGCGAAACGCTACCCCGTGCACCTTCATTTTACTGCACCTGCTGGCACAAGGCAGCTCCTCTGAAACCACCTTCCCCAACCAGTATGGCTCTGGCTCCAGGCAGCCGAACAGCATCCAGGACTGTGTAATTATATCTCAGCGCCTGTTTCTGCTGGCAGCTTTAGCAGTGAGCAAGTGGTAACTGGGAATTATTGCCAGGGAGGAGAAGAGGTGATGCTATCTCTGCCATGGTTATATGCATGTTGCATGATTAATCCTTGCTCTGTAGGGTTTCAGCAGCCTCACAATCCGCAAGGTAAACACAGCAGCGTGCAAGCAGGTGCTTCCCAGCATCTCAGGTCTAGGTGTGTCGCACCCCATCCTCACGGGGATCATTGGAGAAGCTTCCCTTGAAATGTAATTAACTCCTTGTCTTGTGCACAGCGTGAGTCTCGCACCACCGAGTGACAGACGCGGATGCACACACGCTGCCTGCACCACACACCTTGCAGACTGCCAGCCCTGCGCAGCCTACACACGGTGCGCCCATCCGTGAGCCGCCGTAATCCCAAACAGGCTGAAGCTCCCCGGCCCGCGTACGCTGCCCTGCTGTGCACGGATCGCGTGCATGGTAGAGCCTTGAGTCTGAAAATGTGCAGCTTTTCCACTTCGTATCTGAGAGCTGCTCACGTTGGTGTCCTGTCTGGCTACCCGCTGTACACCCAGGGGAATTGCATCAGCTGTGCTGACTTTGGGGTCCAGGCACCTCCTCTGTGAGTCCATTCCAGGCTACAGCTCACAGATACCATGTCCAGCAGCCACAGAAACCTCAGACAGCCGTGCTGAGGCTGGGGATGCGCCTATGCGACGTGAGGCTGTGACAGATGGATGGGGTGACCTGCTCCCAGCACAGCCCAGCAGGTTAATGGGGAGCTGTGGAAGAGATTACAGCTTGCAGAGAGGGGGTCACTGCCTGCACCTTGCAACAGGAGCTGCTCTGAATGCCACTGTGGAGGGAGCAGGCATTGTCAGCTGCTCTGGCTACTCACAGTGGCTGGCTGCAATTAATTTAGGTTCATTGACTCCCTTCTGGGCTTAGCTATATTATCTTGTTCCTATTCAAAGCCCACCCTGTGGCCTTTGTAGCACCAGCTCTGGCAGAAAAGGACCAGAATAGCAGTAAGACTGTTGTAGTTTAAATGCAAAACACCCGTCTGCCATTTCCAGGAGCAACAGGGACATGGCCAGAGCCAAGTGACCAGGGGGAGTTTGGCATTTCAGTATTTCCTGCCCACTCACTATTATTCAGTCTCCATGGGGTCCTGAGGGCTTTTTTGGATGCCCACTGTTGGATCTGGCACGTTACTTTTGCTCTTTGTAGCTGGAAATTTTTAGGACAAAAAGTGTGTTTGCATATGGCTTGTGCTGCAACTGCTACTAACTTGGTGAAATTAAAACCAGGTGATATTCAAGCTAGTGACTCATTTCTGCTGAATCTCAGGTGTCTGTCCCACACCACAGAAGTGTTAGAGTTGTCAAAGATTAGCGGCTGTGCATGTGTTAATTCTCCTCCCCCTGCTTGAGAGCAAAAGTCAGCGTCCCTCAGGGTGTGTTCACATGGCAGTGCAGGACCAGGCAGCGATGCTGGAGCTCGCTTAGGTACCCAGAGCAATCGCCACATTAGCATAGCACTTAGCAAAGGGACGCTTTAATGTGACTCTGTTCAACTTCAGCTCTGATGTTGCTGGTATTCGTGTGCGCATTTAAAGACGGTACTGGAAGTCTGGACCAAAGCTTTATCTTCCCTCCCTTCCTTTTGGTCTTGGCTCCAGGATTTCAGTGATGCCTTCAAGAACATCCTGGGATGATGCCGTCCCCACCTGCCTCCTTGGGGAGCATTTCCAGCAGCTCAGCAAGAGAGAAAGGCTCAGTGTTCATGAGTTATATCATTCTTTATATCATCGTTAAGAGTAGCAGGTATTGATGTACAATGCATCTGTCATCTTATTGTGCTTCCTATGAAAATGTGTGTACATAGTACAGATACCAGAGAGAATTCAACACTTTATACACTTGAAGGCATTCAGAGATCAGTAACAGAAAAAAAAATGGCACAAGAACAAGGCCTAAATGCTACTAGATGGGTATCTACACTGATATGATGCATATATAGATATATATATATGTACACATATATATAGTCATATATATTATATATAAGAAATATAAAATGCAGATGACATAATAGAAACAAACAAAAAAGTGTATGCTTCGACAGGTGAGCGTCAAGGTCAAATCCCAGCCCCATCTTTAAAAGCTTTAATGGGAAAGAGAAAGAAAGAAAATAAATAAGTGAAATGCAATGAAACATTAGGAAAAATCCATAAGAAAATTTATGGATGTGGCCGACCCGTCATCTTTGGGCGATCGCTGGGTACAAAGGACTGACCCCCAGTTCCTAATTTTGGTCAGGAAGCAAATAGTTATAATAATGACAACAATAAAAACAAAACTGCAGTTTAGAAATAATAATTACTGCAGCTGCCAGGGCAGGTCTCTGCGTGCCGGGGAGAGGGCAGCGACGGGAGGAGCAGCGGCGGGGGGGGGGGGGGTGG